CCCCCGCCCCGCCTCACCCTCCGTGGCCAGAGCGAGGCCACGCCCCTGAGCCGGCCTCTTTCTCAATTACGTGGCCACGCCCCTTTTCGTTAGGCCGCCCCCCCGCCCTTTTTTTCCAAGCGCAGGACGCCCCGCCTCCTCGCGACTCTCGCAATCTCAGGAATCCTCCTCCTTCTAGCCCCTCCTCTTCCCATGCGGATAAGAGCGAAAGCGGCACTGGCCGGACTTGTTACGTCTTTTGTCACGGATTAACTTGAACATGGATGCCTAGAAGGGAGTCCTGTAGGTTCTAAACCGAATGGTGAGTTAAAGATAGAACGCAGTTTAACATGATGTTTGCATGGTAGTCAGCCAGTTGCCTACGGGAAGTCTGTAAACAAGACAGAAGTGCAAGGGGACCCTTCATTTCACATTTCCCAGCAGCTGACACACAGAGGCGTGGTTGTTACATGTCAGCAAGTCACCTCTTATTCATGGTGACCCTATGAATGAGCGATTTCCAAAATATCTTGTCCTCAACAGCTCTGCTCAAGCCTGTGGTTTCTTTAGGGAATTAATCCATCATGCATTTAGTCTTCCTCTTTTCCTGGTACTTTCAACCTTATTATTGCCTTTCCCAGAGAATCTCGTCTTCTCATGATGTACTCAAAGTACAGCAGCCTCAGTTTTGTCATTTTTGCTTTCAGAGATAGTTCCAACTTGATTTGCTCTAGGATCCATTTGTTCATTGTTCTGGCATTCCAAAGTATCCACAAAGCTCTCCTCCAGCACCACATTTCAAATGAATCAATTTTTTTCCTGCCTTAACTGTCCAGCTTTTACACACATATATCGTGATCAGGAATACAAGAGTGTGGATGATACTGGTTTTGGTCTACAGTGACACATCCTTACACTTGATGATCTTTTTAAATTCCTTCTCCAGTACTGGAGATGATCTATACTCATCCTATCCACCGTAAATTTATCTAATCTAATTTCAGTGCTGCTCAAGCTAGTGGCCATCACTGCATGCTGTGGCAGTGATTTGTGCAGCTTAATTGTGACATGTAAAGAAATACTTCCTCTGCTTGATGAATCTCACACTATTCAGCTTAGGTGTATGACCCTAGCTTCCAGTGAAATAAGAGCATAACTGGCATCCATGGCAGTGGGAGCCTAAGCTCTCTGAGATGCCTGGAGCAGGAGCAGCATTACTGTCCCCCATCATTGCCCACACACACCTGTGCATACTGCCACCTTGGTTGTGTGTTCTGAAAGGAGGAGGCACTTCTCAGTAAAGTCCTGCTGGTTGCAGCAGTAACAAAAAGTGGAAGAAAGAGCCACAAGTGTGTGGGAAAGGAATGAGAACAGGCCGCAATTAGATGGGATGAGATTCTAGAGTACTAAACAGCTGCGTAAGAAAGGAGACACCTGATTAGACAAAGAGTGAGAAGAAGTCATGTTACCAATGCAAATACAGCAGCCACGGCTTCCCTCTGGAGAGAAAAGGCACAATTCACCACTCCTAGCACCTTGCCACCTAAGGAAATTGCCACACTCTGCTCCTTAGCAAGGAGCTATGGAAGTGGGTACTGATGCTTGTGTACAGATAACCAAACATAACCATTTGCTTCTACTTCTTAGCATGACTCTGTGCATGCTTACTCAGAAGTAAGCTCTGTTGAACTTGATGAGGTTTACTTCCAAATAACTGAACAATTACAGCTTTAGAGGTTTTCTTTGTGTTACACAGATTGGGTTATAATGTAGTGCTAAGGGATTTCCAGACAAATGGTTTCTTGTGTAACCACTCTGTCTCAAATAAATAATTTTATGGGGGTGAAGGTGATGATGTCTTTAATTTGTAAACCTCCCATTTTTCCACTCTGTCGTTTTGTTTTTTTCTTTAGCATAAAAAGATATGAAGGTGTGAATGTCTACATACTGCCTTTTGATTATTGTTGCTGATTTGCTGGGGTATTTCCAGAGGGCTCCTGGAAGAGTAAGTGAGCATTCCTTTTTTGGAGTGCAGCAACCCAAACGTCCCAACCAATATGACCAGATAGATTCCACAAGAGTAACTTTTCCACTCTTTGGTTTTTAGCATTACTATTCAAAAGGTGGTGTCCCTATTTACACGGGACATGGTGGCGCTGCGAGATAAACCGCAGAAGCCTCTGTGCTGCAAGGTCAGAAGACCAGCAGTCGTAAGATTGAGTCCACAGACAGGGTGAGCTCCCGTCGCTTGTCCCAGCTCCTGCCAACCTAGCAGTTCGAAAGCATGTAAAAATGCAAGTAGATAAATAGGTACCACCTAGGTGGGAAGGTAACAGCGTTCCATGTCTAGTCGTGCTGGCCACGTGACCACGGAAATCGTCTATGGACAAATGCTGGCTCTATGGCTTGGAATCGGGGGATAAGCATTGCCCCCTAGAATCAGACACAACTGGACAATTTGTCAAGGGGAACCGTTACCATTACCTATTCAAAAGGCACCATGCAGCTATTTCATATTTTCCTCTTAATATATGTTTTGTACAAAGAAAAACAATGTAAAAGGTGATAGGAAAATGTGGCAATCTATTAAGATTGTGGCATTGTGATCCTTTGCAACATTCCATAGATGAGGCAGGATGATTGTAGAAAATCTGGAAGCATCTCTGATAAAAGCTAAATCAAGCATACTGTTACAGCAGTGGCCAACCAGATGCCAATGAAAAAGCCTGCAAGAAGATCAAGAGTGCAATAGCAGCTCCCACGTGTGTTCCCCACCTGCTGATGTTCAGAAATGTAATCTTTTATCTGCTATTGGAATAATGTTTAGCCTTCATGACTAATAGCTCTCTACTAGTAGTCTTTGTCCTGTGCCAATTTTCCCCAGAGTCCTACACATAGCTTCACATTGTGAGTCACACACAGACACATGTAAGAGAGCACAGGACTTACTTCTAAACAGACATGGATAGTAATCTTATACAATTATGTACCAAGCAGGAAATGGGATCTGCCTGGCAGGATACAAAAGTACCCTGGAGCTTATTATTTGTGACTATAATATTAACTAAATAAAAATGCAAAATTCTAAGGTGCTATTGGAATGCTACATGAAAGCCTGGCTAAGAACCTGCCGCAGAAGAATGCCTGCAGTTAGGAAACTGGCCTTTATCCAATTTTTTTTAATCTTTGAGATACGGCTTCTAGCTTTACTTAGGAGATGGAGGAGAGGGTCTGCATTATTAGCTAGTGCCAAATTCTATAAATAAACATTCAGTTCATTATGCTATATGAAATGTTAAGGCTGAATCGAGCAGAAAAAGGTGAAATATAAAAGGAAGACCATCAATATCATGTAAAAAACAATGAGTTCAGAATACTTCTGCCTAAAAAAAGAATGTCAAAATGCATTTTAAAATACTTGGCATTATAGGTTGAATATACCTAAGAATACTAAAATTTCTTCCCCATTTTAAGAGGTGACCTTAGTATGCCTCTGTGTTTGTCGAGTGCTTCAGTTAAAGGGGGGGGCAGGTTTGCTCACCCCTCAAAGGCCACAAATAGGGTGTGAAAGAAATAGACCTCCCCTTCCCAGACCCATATATTCCAGCAAGTAAGCATAGAACGACAATATAGGGCTTGAGCAACACTGAATCTGATCATATGGAAATGATCAGATGAACCAGACATTGCAGAGCCACCACAGTGTAGCGGATAGAATGTAGGACTCAGGAGATCTGGGTTCAAGAGCTCACTTGGCCATAGAAACTCACTAGGGAGCAGCACTGCAAAAATCACTTCTTAAATACAGTACCTTGCACTCTTTAACTGCTTTGCTACTTGCATTACCATACATCAGAATCATAGAACAGTTGAGTTGGGAGTGGCCTAAAAGGCCAATGAGTCCAACCCCCTGCTCAATGCAAGGATCCAAATCAAAGTACATCTGACAGATGCTTGTTGAATTTTCTCTCAAATGCCTCTAGTGTTGGAGTGTTCACCACTTCCTGAGGTAACTGGGTTTTGATGGCACATTACACACATAGATATTGTAGAGCAGAGGTCCCCAACCTTTTTAAAACCATGGACCAGCTGGGGAAGGCAGGGCATGCGCTCGGGAGCATGTGCAAAAGGGTGGGGGAGCGGTCATGCGGGCGCTGGCGCACGTACGCATACACAAACAGGCTGGGGGAGTGCGTGCAGGGGGGAGGTCTGTCTCCGTAGCCCCGTCCAGCTCAGGCCACAGACGGGGGAGGGGGGTTGAGGACCTCTGTTGTAGAGTATTCCCAGTCAAGAATGATTGACTAGAGAAGGAGAACCAATTTACACTTCCTTGACTATGCCCTCAAGCATTGTGGCAGCTGTTATGATGATTGGACCCAACATTCCAGATAATAGCTGGAAGTAATCTCTCCTACCTCAATCTCAGTAGCAACAGGAAACACTAAATTTCAGCATATCAGGTAAAATCAAAAGAAACGAAAGACAAAATAACAAAAAAGACAAAGACATGTGGCACCTTAAAGACTAACTAACTATATTTTAATGTGTGCTTTCATGGACACGTTGACTTCATCAGAATATGGAAACAGACTTAAATGTTGGATGAAATGTCAGTTTCACAAACAGAAAATTCTAAATATTCATTGTCTGTAGGAGTCTCAAGTATATTAGCAATGCATGGACCAGAGTGGTGAGGGACCCGGTGTCAAGGTAGGGACATAGCTGGGCAATCCACTTTAGGTGGAAATAAGCGATCGGACCACAGACACTATCTGATACTGTATGTCATTGATAGTGATGGGTTCAAAAGCACACCCAAGCTACGAACCTCATCCTTCATGGAAAGAGTGCCCCCCCAAAGATAGGGTGGCACCCAGACCACATAC